GATGACTGATTTGATAACGCCGGTCTTTGAGCTATGGGCTTCCACCGTTCCACCCCGGCCGTCTGAGATCGCAATATGACCGATCAAACCGCTGGCGGGAGCCCGTAACACCGCAGCCCCGGGTGTTCTGGCCGCATCTTCCAGGGTGATAATCTTGCCCAACCTCTGTGCATCGCGGTGCCAGTATCCGGTATAGGCGTCAGCAGTAGCAGGGTTAGATACACTGCTGTAGCAGCCATACAAATTACCCGACACCTGGTACACCAGCCAGGATGCAAATTCTGCACAGTCCCAGGGGCCTTTCCACTTTTTATTGTTCTTGGGCACACTGGCGCCAAACACATACTGCTCACCCAAGTGAAGCACTCCCAGATCATATAATTCCTGTCCGGTCATAGTAATTGCTTTTTTGCCTGCACACCAGGCCAGAATTCAGGGGCCGGTCATGCTTATGGCAGTTCATTGATTATGGTTGCAGGACAAACGTACTCCAAGATATTTTTCTCATTTAGGTGAAAAACACCCGTTTCCATATAGGCAAAACCCCTTTTTTCCTTTTCAGGGATCAACGTCTGGGGAAACTAACTTCAACTACGCGCAATGAGCAGTTGGAGCAGATTCAGAAGGACGATGAACCTTTGTCGATACCAAAGCGATGGACTTTATCTTGCCAGTAGGGATGGCTGGCTGACGGGTGTAAAATGAAAAAAGGTTTCAGACTTAAAATCTGAAACCTTGTTGCTCTGTGACCGCGTCTGGATTCAAACCAGAAACCTTTTGATTCGTAGTCAAATGCTCTATTCAGTTGAGCTACGCAGCCATACCGTTATCGTTTAACGGATTGCAAATGTATGACAAACTCCGCAACTTTTAAACCTGCTTTTCAAAATTATTTTTACTTAATCCACTACTCCCGACCCCAATAAGTCGGTAAACGAACAAGGGTTTCAGACGTAAATCTGAAACCCTTGTTGCTCTGTGACCGCGTCTGGATTCAAACCAGAAACCTTTTGATTCGTAGTCAAATGCTCTATTCAGTTGAGCTACGCAGCCATACCGTTGATGTTTAACGGAGTGCGAAGATAGAAATCGGTTCTCAATTCACCAAATTATTTCAGAAATAATTTTCAGACTTAACAATTTTCCTGGTTTAATCCTTGCTAATCATGCGTATTTTTGCACTACAAATACTTTTAAAGGGGTGCGATATTTACTTATT